CTCACACACACACACCCACACACACACACACACACACACACACACACACACACTTAACACTCACACACACACACACTCACACTATAACACACACACACACTCACACTATAACACACACACACACACACACACACACACACAAACTAACACACACACACACACACAATATAACACACACACACTATAACACTCACTCACTCACTCACTCACTCACACACACACACTCTCACACTCTCACTATAGTGGGGACATGCGGGAATGTCCTGAAAAGTCATCTTCTCCTTGTAATACCTGTCATACCTTTGTCATTATACAAATTTATGTCCTCATTTGTCACAAAAACGCACACACACTAACACACTATAACACACACACACACACTCTCACACACACACACACACACTCACTCACTCACTCTCTCTCACACACACACACACACACACACACACTAACACACTATCACACACACACACACTCTCACACACACACACACACACACACACACAGTTAAAAATTATGATAAAGAGCTTACTTCATTCAGAAAGCTGACTAACTGCTCTACGGTTAAATAATCACTTTTGTCTCCGTTGCTGCAAAGAAATTGAGCAGAAGAGATTTGGTTTGGTTATAATAACACAAACAAAACCATTAAAGAGAGAGAGAGAGAGAGAGAGAGTTAGACATCACAAAGCATCTGTACGACACCCGTCTGATGTTCCATAAACCGTTAGTCAAACACACGGGTTAATGTTAACTGCTGAAGCTGTTAAGAGTTCATCTCATAGTTAGTGCTCCAGTACTGGCTCTAGAGTACTAGTTAACCTTGAGGACTGAACAGCGTGTGACGTACATCTTCTTGAAGAGCTCCTCGATGTCCGTGCGAGGGCAGATCTTCTGCGTCAGAGCGTAGAAGATGTCGAAGGTGAAGGCCGAATGCTCGATTTCATCATTCTGCAACGCAAAACCAAACCAGCAGGTTAAGAGTCAGCATGACACGTATTTAACTTCTGCAATGTGACGGGAACAGAATATTCAACAAAAGTAGGACGAGATGTGGTTCGATCCATGAGGGACTGATGACTGAAATCCTGCTCTTAACCAGTCTTTATGTCTCATTTTCCAGCGGAAAACCATGTAAAAATCAATCTTCTGTTTTCAGAACCGTATCGTGAATAAAAGTGTTTTATTGCACTGGCAGGTTAATCAAGATTAAACTGTTTTTCAATGGTTTTTAGATGTTTTAACTGGAAAACAAGTCAAAAAGTCTCACTGGTTCACATCTATAAAAGTACCGAAACTACTGTAACTGAAAATATAAAAATAAAAGGTAATTCAAAATATCAATAAATACTATGATTGTACATGAAAAGACAAAACATTAAATACATAAAATACTAAGATATATTAAGAAATATCCTAAGTAATAAATAAAACAAATAAATATATAAAATATTAAAATAACTCTGTTCATTCCTGGCAATAAAACTGAGTCTAGATGACATCATCTGAACGTCAGAGACGTGTTTCCCTTTATAATCACATTACTGATGATTTGCTCACAATAAGAGCAGCATCATGAATTAAGACTCTTTCTGACCTTCCCACTGGGGAGACCGAGTTCCTTCAGCGCCTGGAAGATTCCTTTCTCCGTTTTACCTGAGCCGAACGTCCGTGTGATACTGCATGAGACGAGATCACATCAGATCAGATCAGTCAAAACATCACAGAACAAAGAGATGATCCAGAGGAATCAGACACTCACCCTCGGACCGGGATTTTGCCGTTGACATTCGAAACAGACCTCTAACAGATCATAAACAGACCTCTAACAGACCTCATAAACAGACCTCTAACAGATCATAAACAGACCTCTAACAGACCTCATAAACAGACCTCTAACAGATCTCAAACAGACCTCTAAAATATCCCAAACAGACCTCTAACAGATCTCAAACAGACCTCTAAAAGATCCCAAACAGACCTCATAAACAGACCTCTAACAGATCACAAACAGACCCCTAACACATCATAAACAAAAAGATCCCAAACAGACCTCTAACAGATCATAAACAGACCTCTAACAGATCTTAAACAGACCTCTAACAGATCTTAAACAGACCTCTAACAGATCTTAAACAGATCTGCAAAAGATCTCAAACAGATCTTCAAAAGATCCCAAACAGACCTCTAAAAGATCCCAGACAGACCTCTAACAGATCTTGATTCAGGGTCTGTTTACCACTATAAATGACCACATCCCAAATGAAAACGATCACTGCAATTAACTCTTTCCCCGCCAAACACAGAATTTTCCTGGTTTCTGTGTTCTCGCTGTTAAACGCTAGGGGGCGCTGTTACGCATCTCCTGAATGAGTCTAGAATCACTCGATCAAAAACACAGACGAGGAAGACACACAGAAACCAGCGATCTCATATATAAGCATATGCATATGAAAAATAACGCGATCATCAACAATAACCGCATATAAATGAAAACTGCCTAATGTTCCCGAGTGAAATGTGGATCCAGAAAGTGTGAAGCTTTGGGAGTGCTGATGGAAGCCATCTAATGCATCGTTGCTTTGATAATATTGCTGAATATGATCCAGATGTAGTATTTGTTAAAAAAGCGATTTTCTCAGCTTTTTGCTCAAAATTTATCTTTTTTATGAAACCTGCCTGCATTGAAGGGATTAAAAAAAAGAATGCTTAAAGCTAGAATAATATAGATTTTATTTTTTAAAAAGTAGAGGGTTGGTTCTTTATTTTGATGTATTGCATGTTCAGATATTCATACAACAAAAATATTCTGGGGGCCATGAAATTCTAGTAAAAATCATCAAAAACACTGGCAACTTTTTTCACAAACGCTGGCGGGGAAAGAGTTAATGAGGTTTGCAGCGCACGCATGTCGCCGTGGTAACGCTCACCTTGGCCGTGTCCGTGTTGTCCATCACCATGTACATGAAGCTGAGGTTGACCAGGTCCGTCCCGCTGCACATGCAGATGATGCGGCCGTCCAGATCCGCCTCGCTCTTCCCCGCCGCTTCCAGAGACGCCAGGATCTTTGGGTCCTTCAGGATCCAAACACACGACACACGCAAACATCAGCTCAACACGTTAGTACCGGTTCAGTACAATCCTTCATAACAGATCAGCATGATCCATACACACACACTCACACGTCGCAAACACACACACACACACACATAAAAGAGTCTCACACACACACACACACACAGACGAGTCACACACACACACACACACACACACACGGGCCACACACACACACACACATACACACACACTCACACGTCACAAACACACACACACACACACATAAAAGAGTCTCACACACACACACACACACAGACGAGTCACACACACACACACACACACACACACGGGCCACACACACACACACACATACACACACACTCACACGTCACAAACACACACACACACACACATAAAAGAGTCTCACACACACACACACACACAGACGAGTCACACACACACACACACACACACACGAGTTAATATTTGACACATGCTGAATGTGAAATATATGTAATCTCTGGATGTCAATAACACTCGAGAGCAGATGTAGAGCAGACAGTAACGCCTCGCCGAGTCTCCTGAGTCCCGTCAGATCATGTGACCGCAGATCATCGTCAATCCCACAATGCCTTGTCTTCATCACAAGAACTGTAACTCTGACTAACATTTACTAACTTAACTAACCTTGATTCATCTGAACGATTCAAGTGTTTGTTTGGATGATTCATTTCAGTTCAATCAGGAGCATCTTTACCTTCGGCACGACTCCGGGACGAACGCTGTTGATCAGAGAACATTCTAGAAGCTGACCTTCCTGCGAGAGAGACAAATACTGCGATTACGACAGTTCAAAGCAGAATCACAGCTCATGATCACTGATTCCAGTCATTTTTAAGGATGAATATGAATAATCACAATAATCACAGAAACACATCTCACCAAGGCAAAGTTCTGCTAATGCCATTTTGTTCAGAAACAGTTTAAACTTAATGTCAGTGACTGACTATACGAACATAAAACACACACAGACACACACACACTCACACACACACACTCACACAGAGACACAGAGACACACACACTCACACAGAGACACACACACACACACACACAGAGACACACACACACACACCCACACACACACACACACACACACACACACACTCACACACACACACACACACTCACACACTCACAGAGACAGACACACAGACACACACACACACACACACACACACACACACACACACACTCACACACACACACACACACAGACACAGACACACACACACACACACAGACACACACACACACACACACACACACACACAGATACACATTTACAATATTTACAATATCCACAGACATATTTCATCAAATGTACGTAAAATAATTCCACATGATTATAATTGAAGCTTTCAAACACATGACAGAGTGTGAGGAGAAGATCAGAGACGTGAGGAAACACTCAGAGACGCTGTGCATTAATGAACACAAATCGCACCTTTCCGTCACTTTTCCACGTGAGAAAGAAGCCAAACTCGTCGACTTTGAAATGGCAGCTGGGCTCAAAGACGAAGGGATCCTGAAAAACACAGCGGAGGATGAGCAGCGTTACTGACGACAGACACATCGTTAAATCAACCACATTTCCTTAGAATGCAATCACTACGATCATAACACGTAATCACTGCCTTAACGTGTTAATTGTTTCTGCTTTAATGAAGATGTGACTATGTTAACTAACTGCATGATTTGTATAATCTGCCATACGAGGGTTTTATCTGATTGGTCGGGTCCGGTGTCCTCCGTCAGACAAACAGACAGAATCAGACCTCACATGCATCTGAAGTGTGTGACGGGATAAAAACACATCAGCGCTGCATTCACTGAAGAACTATAACACAACCGACGCAGAAACCGCAGAGCTTCTTCAATAAATTCTCTCAACTTTATGATAACATATTTCAAACATTGTATATGCATAATCAATATGTTGTGTATCAATGTATAAGCTGGGATGAAGGACACAGACTCCAACCCTTATCTAAAGGCAAGTTTATATGCGTATTGTTTTAATTTGTTGATTATCTGTCGATAATCTGTAGCCATTTACAAACACAGCAAGTGCATTAAAACAAGTACATTTTATGTCAGTATTTTGGCTTTCAGAATCACGATTCATCATTAAAGTTAGAGGACTCCTGATTCCAGACGCCACAGAAAACACTTCAGCGTGCGTCATTCCAAACGAGAGCGGCGTGATGCGAGAGAACACCCGCGGGCTCGGCTAATGAGTTCACCTTCACCAAACGGACGGAGCCAAGATGGCCGCCGGCAGCACAGTTTCACCGTCTGCTGCTCTGTAGGATCTGGCTGAACTGTAACTGTTCTCCGTGAGACTTCCTTCTTATTTACATACTAGTTCCTGTGCGATACATCTGCTGCACTAATCAAGATGCCCGCGTCCTGCAGGGCCGTTCAATTAACGAGAGCATGCGACGCTCGTCACGTCGTCCTGATTTACCTGCGATCGGAGCACATTTGACAGGTGACGCTTAACCGCAACGAGAGTCAATCTGAGCAGAAAACAGCACAAATACTGAAGCTACTAACTGAACTAAACATCAGCCAAATCACAAACAGACGGGCGATGAATCCACACCAACAGCAGAGTTACCCAGAATCCCTCTGTGGATGTTTATGCGTCACTTCCACTGCTGCAAGACCTGATTGAGTTACACAGGAAATCAGGAACAGGAAGTGTGTGTGTGTGTGTGTGTGTATGTGAGTGTGTTTGTTTGTGTCTGTGTCTGTATCTGTTTAAGTGTGTGTGTGTGAGAGAGAGAGAGAGAGAGAG